GGTCGGATTCGGTTCGGGTTTAGTCGGGTTCGGTTCGGGTTTAGTAACATGTCCAAGATCCGGTTGAACCCGAAATAGTTTCGGTTTCGGATACTAATCGGGTTATCGGTTCTAAAAATACTAATTTATACTCAATTAAACTCACTATATTTTCAATCATTTTATTAAATTTGTGTATTTAGCTTCTACAAACCATATTATTCTCCTTCAAAATAATATTGTGAAACTCATCTATCAACCATATAAGATTTGTCCATGAATTATATGTGACAATACTAAACATATCATGATTAATGACAAACCAAAGCCTTGTATGAACGAAATATAATACATAATGAAACATAAAAAATTAAAGTTAACAACTAACAATTCTATAAACATAAGGAGTGCTATTTAAACTTTTAAAAACAACATTATATAAAATTCAAAACAAATTTATTCGTAGCTTAACTTCAAATGTTATGTCAATCATAAACATTAATATTAACCAAATAACACTATATATTAGACTAAATATTTGAGTTAATTATTTCTATCATAATTAATTATTGTAGGTACTCAATAATATATTAATCTGTTTTGGAAACATATTAGAAATTTAGATTGGATATGATATAAGTTTTTTATTTTAAAGTTTCGGGTTCTTTCGGATATCCATTTAAGTTCGGGTTCGGTTCGGGTAATACCCATAACCCGAAATACCGTAAAACAAGATCCATTCGGTACTTATGTCGGGTTCGGATCGGTTCAGATTCCTTTTTATCGGGTCGGATTCGGTTCGGATTTTCGGGTTCGGTTTTTTTTGCCCAGCCCTAGTTCTGTGTGAGCATTTGGATATTATTAAATCTTAATTGTATGTTGTGTCATTTCAAAATTGATTGCATGATTTATCACCTTTTCTGTAAAATGACACACAAAAGAATACCAAACTGAAGAAGATTTTGTTTGACTGCGTAAATGCTTGCAGACTGAAGTGTAAAACCTTACATGGAATCTCCCTTTGGTAAGCTTTTACTGATTGTTTATCCACAGAGGTGTGGACCTCTACAAGATAAAATAAAAAATGGATTATTCGAATAGGAATAATGGAGTAACAAGTAGAAGCTAAGAGAAAAATATATATACTCTATAACTTTTTAACAATCTAGTCAAAAATATAATAAAAACCATTATACACATTGGTAAATAGTCTTTAAATGAAAATTACTCTTCATTAATAATTTATAACTTACCATTTATATTGTTTGGCAAGATTATTATTTATTATAAACAGAGAAATAAAACTAGGTTTATATATAGTGGATATATTAAATCTGAAATTTAGAGTACATTATATTAAAGTGACTAGTCGCATTCTATTTTACTATGATTTTTGAAACTTTGTGTGAATTTGTGATTTTATAATATACTTAAAATACTGAATTATATGAGATTTGTTATATTTTATAGTCTTATGTGGAGTTCTTAAATATATATTATAATAGCATAGTATAGTACTATAGTTAATATTATTTCTAGTTGAGAATCAATTAAAATTTTCATCAAAATATAACATATATTTGTATTATTTCAGTTATTTGCTTAACAAGGATGGGTTGAACCTAGTATATATATAATAATTCATTTATCACAAGCATCTACGTCAAATACAATGTTTTGATTATAATATTTCTGAAAACATTTGTTTACATTATTAAAGCTTCAACAATCAGATTAGGAGGAAACCATTTGACCAATGAGCTTTTCCATGGCCACTAAGACCTGTGTTTCTCTGTTTCTCTCAATCATAGGATTCATATTATAGCCTGGTACATTAAAATCTGTCTTACATATACCCACGCCCTTGGAAACGTTACTCGTGAGTTTAAGGATCTCACCGTATAGTCCTTGATTGAAGAAAGATACAGCCTCCGTGAACGCAGTGTTCACAATAGCGTAAGCTTCGGCACATTCTTGCAGACCGAACCTCTCGTCTCCAGCATCTCTAAGGAGTGTGCTGATGAAGAAATACGTGTTGGCTGAGAATCTTTCGGCTTCTGTCACCGTCACGTTCAAGAGATCTTCCTTGCTTGGGGAAGAAGAAGTCAGATTCTTGGCAAGGATCTCATTGCAGAATTTGGTGTCTATTGTCTGTTTGCAGATTCTGTTGATGGTTTGTTGAGTCTTCCCATCGAGAAAAGCTTCTGCAACAGAGCAAACGAGTGTAATCGCCAAAAATACCAATAGAATGCGATACATTTTCATTTTTTTTTTCTGTTTGTAGGTTGTGATTCTGTGGTTGTTTGGAGATTGACCTCCCTGACATCTTTATCCTTGAAAATTAGGCATATTAATGAACTCACTAATGGAATCAGTCAATGGTCAAAAAAAATTCTTGGGTGCATATATTCCGTGTGTGCATTTGTTTAGATTTTTTTTTCGTCAACGCATTTGTTTAGCTTTTAAATGTGCGTTTTGACATTTTTCAAAAGTGATTGCATGTTTTATAACCTTTTCTGTAAATGGCATCAATGCCGCTCCATCGATAAGTACACTAGGATAAGACATGCGCAAGCGATGAATATATGTAATTAAAATATAAAATTTTAGGAGTGACAAATTTATATATGATTGTTTTTATAAGTATTTGAAATTTTAGAATTTTGGAATTTTTATATAATTATCTATACGTAGAATCAGAAACAATTGTAATTAGAACTGTAGATTCAAAGCTTAGAATTTAATGGACCCGACTTCATATATTTTTTCACTTTTTCAGTGTTCGAGTGATGGAAAATAAACGGAGTGACACTGGACTTGATTGGTAAAGTATTAGCAAGTTCTCTAATGCTTTCTTAAGAAACAGTTGGTAAAATATTTGCATTTAAAATATATAAGTTTAAAAACTAATTTAATATAATTTATTTATTTGTCTAATAATATTAGAAAATTCTATTTTTTACAATTTTTTTAAATAATTTTATAAAATATTAAGTTAAATTTTAAATTATTTTTAAAAACAATATTTTAAGTTTTTTAAATTCAAATACATAATTTAAAATTAATTATGGTCATGATTTAACATAGCCATAATGATTTAAAAATTAAAAAAATTAAAATTAAAAAATTAAACATCAACTCAGTTTTATATCATGATTTAACAATTTAAAAACTAATTATGGTTATGAGAAGTTTACGTTCACGTGTCAATCCTATTTATCTTCAATTTTTTCTCTTGTTGTTTTTTTTTATTTTGGTTATTACTCGATATAAATATTTATTTTGAAGTTTATTCTCATTTCCTTTGTTTTTTTTTTTAACCTGGGATTTAGAAAATACTTCAGATTTAAAATAATTGAAGAGATACATATTTAGGTTAAGATCTGCACTTTATGCACAATAAATATGTTATATTTTATATTTATTTTATATTTTTCTGCATATTATAAAATAATAAAATAATAAATATATATATTAAATAACTAAGAAATCAGTTACTATTATGTAATAAATTGGCGTATGCATATAAATTTAACTATCACTCTTGTTTATTCGCAATTAGGGTAAATAAATCAAAATAATCAATCTTATATATTTTATATGATATATAATTAAATTTAAATGATATAAACATATTAATATAGCACACTTTTAATATGGATATTTATTAAATGAGGTTTCTACTCATATGTTATGATTATTTGCATATTTGTGTAACAAAACTTTACAGCAACGATTTTTTTTTATGTGTGTTTAGTAGTTTCAATAATTTATAATCATTTTTTTAAAAATAACATATTTCAAAATTAAAGTATTAAGTTTTCAATATATGTTCAATGCAAATATCAAAATATAAGTATGTATTTTCATACGATATATAGTTTAATTAAAACGATATGAAGTATATATAAATTAAAATTATTTCTTCATATGGTCTTATAATCCATATATTATAATATAGAAAAAAAATTAAAACCTTGATCCTAAAATTTTATGTGAGACTTTTAACAGTTTTAGTAATTTATACTAATTTTGAAAAATTCGAAATACAACATACACAAAAAAAATCTAGATTTTTATTATATGATTAATGTAATTGTGTAATTTATTTTAATAATAAAGAAATAAACAAAATGAGAAAAAGTATACAGATTGTTATCAAATCTTTATTGTTTAAAATCATTAATTGTCATATATATATTTTAATTACATTAGGTAATTCCGTAGGTTTTATTTAAGGAAAGGATGCAAAACAATAAATATTTGATATATACGACCAACTATAGCCTATGAAATATTATATTGCTAAAGAATATAAATTTTCGACTATACATTATATCAGATGCTCTAGAATCCTTGGGATTTGAAATAGAAGCCAAAGAACTATGCCACATAGGATTGAGGTTATTTTTAATTATTACAAACTTAAGGTTACAACTTTTTAAATGATTCTCAATTAATATATAGGGGATATATTAATGTAGCAATACATAGACTGTACCAGAAGAAAATCCAGTCAATGTCTTGATATATGGTAGTAAACAACACACAAAAGTACACTAACCTGAAGAAGATTTTATTTGACTACCCAAACGTTTGCAGATTGAAGTTCAAAGTCTTGCATGGAACCTAACTTTGTTAAGCTTTAACTGAATGTTTATTTGAGAGACACGCAATATTTACTATAATATAGAAACGATTATATGCATTAGTAAATAATTTTGAGATGAAAATTAATAAACAATTATAATTTATATTGTTTGGAACGATATTGTTAATTTAAAAACTAGAGAAAATGGACGCTGTGCTTTTTAGTGGGTATATTCAATCTGAGTGATTCGTATTAAACACATGAATCATATGTTATTCAACTATAATTTTTTAAACTATATGTTATTGAATCTATGATTTTAAAGTTTACTATAAAATCTAATGTAGTAAATTTTTAGAGATTTGTTATGATTTATGGTGTTTTGTGAAGTTTGTTTATAAAAATATATAAATCAAAATCTTGTGGTTTTTGTAAGATTTTAATTTTAATATAACCAAATAATCTAAAATTTAATTAAATCAAAGATAATCCAAATCTTTCCAAATAATATATTGGTTTTTTTACAAACTGCTTATTAAAATATTGGGAAACATATTACTTGATTTATCTGCATCATCGAAAAAACAAGGCTCCGTAACAACTGAGCTAAGCAAATAAGCATTTCCATTTTTCACCATATACCCTGAAACCGCAGACATGGTGATCAAGATATTCATCACTTTGCATTTCTCTATAAGAAGCTTCTTTTTGTCCAGAGGAATCTGAAAATCGGTCCTACATCTTTTCAAGATATTTCTTGTGGATAAAATGTCTATGATCATACGTTCGTACTTTTTACGACAAAACTCTTGCCGTACTTTCAAAAAAACTCTGGTTTCTTCAGTGTAAACCGTTAGACAAGTGTTGAGACCAGTCGTCTCCTCAGGATCAGGATGTTCACGCAAGATGTTACTGATGAAAACATATGTATCACTGGCGTGTTCAGTAGCGATGCGGAATATGAGATGGGTAAGAGCTAAGAGATTAGCTGTTTTTGTGTCTAAATGTTTGTGAATGATTTCTTTGCAAAGTTGATAATCTCCACTTTCGGTGCATATCCTATCGATCAGTTCTTGTGTGGGACCATCGACTTCCACTGCTTCCATGTGATTGATAAAAATATAGAGAGCAAGAATGGTCATGGAGCCTAGCGGGAATTTCATAGTTTTGAATTTCTGATAACTATCTTGGCAGAAAAAAAAATCTCTGATAAATGTGTGTATGCATCATCAATTCTAAGTAATGAATTTGTATAAATACGTGTGTTAAGAAAATGAATCAACTTACCAAATAAAACTATACATTTAATATTTTAAATTTATTCTATTTGCTAAAAGATTGGTTATCTATAAGTTTTGGATATTATTTACTGTTTCATTTATTAAGATAATCTTTTATATATATACATATCTATCTTATTAAATCAGAAACATTAGGTTGGAAATATTTCTTTCTTTATATTATATCCATACTTCCAAACAATATATTTATTTTTTTATACTACTATCCATATTTTCAAACAATATATTCATTTCTTTATACTACCATCTATGTTTTCAAACAACACTATAATTAATTTTATATCCAAAAAAATATACACATTTCCTTTTACTACTATTAATGTTTCTAAACAACACTATAATTAATCTTATGTCCAAACAATACAAATATTAGATCTCACCCTTTAATAATTTCTCACAATTTTCTTTTAAATTATTTAGATAAACTAATACTTCAAATAATATATAAAACAACAAAAATAAATTTATTTTCACATGTTTAGATATTAGATATCAGTTATCCATCGGTTCAATCCGTTAGTCTTAGGTTTTAGTGATATTTAAAATATGGATATTTTAAAAAATTAAACTGGATTATCGGATCACCGGTTTAATAACGGTTAGAGTTGAATTTAAATATACTGATTTAAATGCAAAAATATCTTAAATACATAAATTCTTTCAGAATACCAAAATATTTGTTAAATTATTTATGAAACTTTTCATCATAAAATATTATGCGCTTACAAAGTTAAAACCAAAGTTAAAGTTGAACTTAACCTAACCTATAAAATAAAAGTCAAGGCCAAAATTTTTAGCAATTTGTATACTATTTTAAAAAATTTGGATAATTATTAAGATCAAAAGTAACTAAACTCTCAACTTATTTTTCTAACGCAAACCGTGAAATTTGAATTTGATTTTGCACTTAGAATAAACGTATAAATTAGTGTTTTCACTGTTTGGCTACATCTACATATGCGCTGCTTGATGCTATTAATACCAAAGACAGTTTTGATATTGTTTTTTTAACATAAAATTGAATTGGAAAATTTCGAAACTATATAAAACTAAAATATATAGAATAATCTGAAAAATAAAGCGGGTGCACTGGTCATGATCTAGTTTATCTTATTAAAGCAGAAACATTAGGATGAACCTAACATTTATTTGTAAGTTTTTAAATTAAATACATCTTTTTACTTTATAGTTAAACATACAATAAATTATTAATATTTTTTTCTTTATACTACTATTTACAATTTCAAACAATATATTTATTTCTTTATACTACTATATATGTTTCCAAAAGATATACTCAATTATTTATAGTACTATCCATGTTTCCAAGCAACACTATCACTAATCTTATGTCTAATCAATACAAAATATTAGATCTCTACTTTTTAAATATTTTTTCATAACTTTGTTTCAATTATTTAGATAAATTTTTAAAAAATCAAATAATATATAAAACAATGAAAATAAACAGGTTGAAATACTACATATCAGTTATCCATCGGTTTAATCGGTTATTATTGAGTTTTAGTGATTTTTTAAATATGGATATTTTTCAAAATCAAAATTGAATTATCGGATCATCAGTTTTAACCGTGGTCCAGGTTGAATTTAAAAGTACTGATTTAAATGAAAAATATTTTAAATACATAAATTCTTTCAAACTACCAAAATATTACGAATTTTCATCATAAAATATATGTGGTTGCAAAGCTAAGACCAAAATTAAGTTTTAATTTAACCTAACCTACAAAGTAAATATTAAGGCCAAAAATTCTAGAAATTTGTATATTATTTTAAAAAATTTAGATAGTTATTAACATCAAAATAATTAAACTCTCAATTTTTTTTTAATGCAAACAGTTAACTTTGAATTTGATTTTGCACTTCGAACAAACATACTGAATTAGTGTTTTTATTGCATGATTACATTTACATAATACACTGCTTTACGCTATTAATACAAAAGAAATTTTGATATTGTTCTTCAACATAAAATCGAATTGGAAAAATTCGAAACTAAATAAAACTATTATATAGAGTATATCCGAAAAAATAATGCGCTAAATCATATTTGTTTTATATCACTTAAAGAAAAAGGTCTAGAAAATCAGAAGGTGATGTGGAACGCGGATAATATTTTGATTTGTAACAGTTATCCATAGTTTGGATTAGATAATAACTGAAATAAATCTATCTATACTATTATTTGCGAAGTGATTTTTCGCAACGGAGCTCTCACGTTAAAAGTTAGAGCGGTTAATATCGATTATACCCTTAATGCATAATTATAAATTAGCCAAAAATAAAAACGAATTTAATACATATTTGATTAGATAAATAATTTAAATTAGTAATAATGATAAGAATTATCCATAATTTAAATATATATTTCAAATAAAAAGAAAATTCTTATATATATTGTGTTGTTATCCTGGAAATATATTTAATTAAAAAATTCAAAAAAATACATAAATAAATATTCATAAAATAAATTTTTTAATTGTATATAATTCAAAAGAGAAAATTGAAAAAAATATAATAGGTAATTATTTATTCCTAAATGGAATTGGTAATATCTCTAAGTAATGGAAAGTATCCTAACATGTGTATAAATATCGACGCTCATCTCTCCTAATTTCGCAAAGCGGCAGCTTAGGGTTATTTGCCCCTCTTCACCATGGACATGCCCCCGTAAGTAATTCTTTTTTTTATTTATTTGTTGTTTGGAGAAACTCTTTTTTTTTTTTTTCTGTGTTTGATTGTTAATTGTTGGTATCTTCAGAACTATTATTTCTGTGGAGGGATACGACACTTGTCGTCCTGAGGACGATATCAAGAGTGAATTGATTAATCACTTCAATTCATGTGGCGAAGTCTTTAATGTTATTCTCCGCGAAGACCCAGATAGCCCTAATCTCGACAGGTTTGTGTCTCTCTGGATGGATATATATTTGTGTTGTGAATTTCTTGCAGCCTAATCTAAAAAAAACAGTGTTTGTTTGTTTTAACAGACGTGCTTTGGTTATTCTACTCGGAGAAGGCGCAGAAGAGAAGGCCTTGCAACTTAATGGAACTGAGATTGGTGGATGGAAGGCTCTTGTTAAAGTTGAACCAGAGGAGGAGGAAGAAGACGAGGAGACACAACGTTATAGATCCTTTCTGTTTGACGAACTAACGAATGACCGCAGATTGTAAGTTGATTGCTTTTTTTTTGTTTCTGTTTTGGTCTATTATCAGTAAATTATATTGATAACATATATGCAAAAAATTAACTGCAGTTGGTATGGCGTTACGGTGAGGGGATATGACACTTGCCTTCCTGCAGATGAAGTCGAGAGCGCTTTGAAAGAACGCTTCTCTTCTTGTGGAGAGATCACCCATGTTTTTGTCAATACTCTCGATAAGCTGACTAATATCTATTTTCACCAAAAAGAAGGAGAAGCTAGTGCACTGGATCTTTGTGGAAGTGAAGTGGGAGGAGGATTCAAAATAGCTGTTCAGCGCGTAGCTACAATCTTTTCTAACCGTCCCCCTCCCTCTTCCTCTCCCTCCGGTGAAAGTGAAAGTGAAATTTACTTCGGCTACTCTATCCCAGGTAAAAATTTGTTTCTAATTGTTTCTTTGATTTCTAAGTTTGATCTCAAAAAAAAAAAAAACTCATGAATTCTTCTGTTTATTTAGATCATATGACTGAGTTATCCGGCTTGATCGAGGACAAGGTGTCTGCTTTTAAGAGACAGAAGACGTCTGTCTAGAAATCTCATAATTAGTCTATTATCTTTTATGTTTTAATGTCATATAATACAATGCAACCTTTATGTTTTAATAATCTATCCCAGGTACACTGAAAAATTTGTTTCTAATTGTGTTAAAAAAAAAAAACTCTCATGAATTCTTGTGTTTATTGTATATGTAGATCATATGACTGAGTTATCCGGCGTGATCCATGACAAGGTCGCTGCTTTTAAGAAGCAGAGCATTTCTAGATAGAAATCTCTCTCAAGAAGCTCTATCTTTGTGTTTTTCATAAAATATTTTTTTTGTAGTCGCTGCTTTTAAGAAGCAGAAGATTTCTATCTAGAAATCTCTCTCAAGAACTCTATCTTTGTGTTTTTCATAATTAATAAATCATGTCAGATATAATACAATGCAACCTTGGGGATTTCTTATGTATGTTTAATGTCAGAGCTCATTATGTATGTATGATGAGCCCTTTGTGTGTGTCTGGATGATAAACGTACTCTTAATAATTTACTTTATTAGCTCTCTACGAATTCGATTTGATTAGGTAGACAGTCAGTAGCATTGAGACTCGCAATTAAAATATTCTTAGTGTTGGAATTACTTGTTTGGAAGCATACATACATACATAGAAAAACTGATTACATACTAGAAATACCGACGGAAAATCTTCCACATATCAAACTGACCAACCACTTGGTACCTCCTTCATTCAATACTACTAGACAGGGACAATGACTTCAAAATAAGAACTCAAATTTCATCAAACTTAGGACTCTTCGTGTATTTATGAAACTGAAACGAATACATTTTTTCTTTTCAAGATTAGTTCAAATTATAACAATCACCTGTTGTTAATTTAATCTTCATTTACGCTACCTTTGAAATGAAAAATCACTGATCTTTCGCTTAAAAACACCCAACACGTTGTCCGACTAACCGTAACCACAAAAGATACAACAAAAAAACTCTTAGTGGTGTTGAGACAAATGTAGGGGAAGAAGCAGTTGGAGATGATGTTGACACTTTTGGTAACTCGGAAACTGGAATCCGTGGGATAGGACCAGAGTATAAACGAGGTGCTGCGGAGAGAGGCTTGTTAGGTAAGGGTTTACTTGTAATTGGACAAGAAAAGAATCGTCTCTTGAGTGTTGTTGTTGTCTTTGCGGGATTAGATGAAGCCATGTTGTTGTTGTTGTTGTTGTTAGCTAGACGTGTAATAGATGAGGGACTTCTTGATGTTTCCACAGGTGTTGGCAATGCATAAGTGCTGAACTTTCGTGTCAGAGATGATCGCATCCGTAACAGCTTCTCTGAAGGAGGCATTGTCCGGTTCTCAGCAAAAAGGGGTGCTGATTGGCTCTCTACCCGAACATCTCTTCTATAAGAACGAGATCTCCCGTAGTTTGCTTCTGCATTTTCCCGCTGAGGCAAAGAAAAAATCATTGAACAATGAGCATCCTGAGAATTTTTTCTGAGTCAATTGAAAGGAAAAGTAGAGAAGATATGATCCACAGTAATTGGTTACCTGCCCAGTGTTTAGTCCTGTAACTAGTGGAAATGTGATATCTGTCTAGTGGAAACAGATACCAAAATTGATTTATCTAGTGAATTTATGATTGTTTTGTGATGTTTATTAATTAGTTATTAATAATATAACATTAATATATCTAAACCGATTTTTTCATGGTTTTAAGATTGTTTACCTAATCAACATAGCATGAATATTTTTCATGTTTATTAAATAGTTATTTTAAGTTTATGTTTTAACATTATTTAGGTTGAAATCAATTTAGGTATGTTATATGGTTGTTTAATTTGATAAAAAGATTGAAAAACGTAAAAAAAAATAATATTATTATATAGTTTCTCAATGTCATTAAAATGTAATTAAATAGTTGTCTCAGTATAAAATTTGATTTAGGAAATTATTTATCAAATTAGGAAAATACAAATAATTAAGAAAATGCTTAATGTTAAGTTTTTAGTGATTTAAATGGCATAGATCTATACTATAATTTGCGAAGTGGTTTTTCGCAACAGAATTCTCACGTTAAAAGTTAGAGTGGTTAATATCGTTTATACCCTTAATGAAAATAATATATAAATTACATACAAAATAAAAAAAAACGAATTTAAATTATTTTGATTAGATAAATAACTAAAATTAATAATAATTATAAGAATTATCCAAAATCTAGATAATATCTTTTTAAATAAGATAATTCCGATATATATTGTGTGATGTTATCTGAAAATATATATTGATAAAAAAGTTAACAATTAAAACAACAGAAAATACATAACTAAATATTAATCAAGTTAACTTCTTAATTTTATATAACTCAATAAAATATTATTTGATTTTAAAATTATTTTTAATAGTGAACATAAATTACAAAAAATATATGTAAAATTATTAAATGAAAGGTAAATATTATTGGTTTCACAAAATAAAGCACTATTAATACTTTATCATTATAATCTTCAAAATGTATTAATAAAATAATTATGACATGTTTAGACCCGCAAATGCGGGTAAAATACTTAGTTTATAAATAAATGGTAATTCTTATGGTTATTTTCTATTTGTATTTTTATTTTAATAAGATAAACAATAATAAATAGCTCACAAGAATCTAATATTCTCAATGTGACTTGGATGACATAATGTTTCACCAATTAGCTTGCCGAACCCAAGGAGTCTGAGATCACCATCCTCTATACCTCGGATCTCGACTGTTCTTATACTCTTTTTTTCAAAATCATAATAACAAACACAAAATGGTGGAAAAAACACCATGGAGTCTCCCCCATGGATCATTCCTTGAGGCACTACACTCGCAAGTGTAGCGTCCTGATAAGGTAAGTCACATGTCATGCTCGACCATTCTTGTTTCTCAGCATCCTCAAGAACCCACAATGTCATCAAGTTTTCTGTGTCAGAACGTTCTAAACCACCCAATTTACCATTGTAATTTATAAGAGCGGAATGGTATAATGTGGAGATATGTGATGTTTTGGGTATTTTAATAAACTCAATTTTCTCTGATCTAACATCGAATCTAACCATTCTTGACTCACCAACTCCGTAGTATAGAGAACCATCGATGCATGTATGTCCGAAGACGGTGCTGTTGTAACTATCTCCGATGGGGTTATCTATCTTTCTCCACTCTTGTTTCTGAGATGAACTCAGAGTGCAAACAAAATAATCATGTTGGTTATCTTGCCTTTCAGGCTTGAACATCACCACACACAACACCTTGTACTGATCTTTGACTGGATCATACCCAAGAAGTGCGTCCACATGTCTTCCGTTGGACATAACGTCTGGCAACTTCACAATCTGCCTAGTGGTGGGATTATAAACGGTGATCAAATTACAAAGAGGGTTTGAAGAAACACCTACAAAGCAGTAAAAACCGTTGACAGAACCATATATCATGTAGTAGTCAGGATCCGAGATCGTCATGTCGTATCTTGCCATGACACTAGAGTATTTATCATCTTCGTTGTTGTCGTATTCAGGAGCTGAGAAAATGAAACTCTTCTATGACTCTATGTGATAGGACGTGAAAAGGATACGAGGCCGAGTCATTATTATTTGCAAAGTGATTTTAATATCGTTTATACCCTTAATGAAAAGATATAAATTATACACAAATAAAAAACGAATTTTAATTCTATTAATTAGATAAGTGATTAAAATTAGTAATGATAACAAGAATTATCCAAAAAAAATATATTTTTAAAAATAAAAAGATAATTCATCTATATATTGTGTTGTTATCTTAAACTATCTTCTAATATAAAAATTAAAAATACAAAAGAATTAAAAATTATTTGATTAGATGAGTTATTAAAATTATTAATAATAAAAATAATCCAGTATATAGAAAATATTTTAAATAAAAAAGATAATTACTATATACATTGTGTTGTTATCTAAATAATATCTTTTAAATTAAGTTTAAATAATAAAATATAAACACATAAAAATTAATAATCAAGTAAAATTCTTAATTTTATATAATTATAGTTTTAAAAATAATGAGCGATTTCTAAGATTTATTTATTTATTAATAACAAATATAATGTACCAAACAAAATTTCAAAATATTTATAATACGTAATAATTACAAAACAAAAACATAAACAATAAGTTATGAGTATAGTTTTTAATTAATAATATATGTATTAATCAAATAGTTATAAAATATTTACGCCCGCATGAGCGGGCAAAACACCTAGTACCCTATATTTAGAGCACCATGATGATGATGATACTATTCTAAACCAATCGATATAATTTGAAAAAAAAAATTACTGAAAGAAATGACTTGGAAACATGTTATTATGTACCATTATTTCTCATGACTTATCTTTTAATATGATAAAAAGTAACTAATATTTGACACAATGTGGGAAATAACTGACTAAAAATAGTGAGATGGAAACAGATTATTGGATATTAATTTGTAATATTATCCCTCATGACTTCTCTTTTAGTATAGATGATGATATCAAAGTTTGATTTTGATACTTAATATATTACTGATGGTTTCATCTCCATTACAAAAACGTGAGATGCAAACAGCAGTTGGACAAAAAAAAAAAAAAATCAAAAGGAAGTTTACTAAAATTAAATATTTGGTTTGGTTTTCTGTAGAATTCGGAAATTGAAGTTCAGATCTGGTTCGGTTCATAGGGAGAATTGCATGCAACTGTCTCTCCTTCACTAAATTCCTAAGTAAACTTCAAGAGCTAGACCGCCTCTTTATAGAAAAAGCCGAACACAATCCAAACCCAAAATACATTCGAGACAACAATAAACTTGAGAATGTTCTTTCAGTGTGAGATCACACAACCATACAAGCCAAGAATACATCTATATAAGAGCAGTTCTTTAAGATTGAAGAACAAGTTTCTTGCTTAGAATCATGTCATCAGTAGTGAAATCCGCCTCTTTTCTGAAAGTTCCACGACCGAAATCAAGGTTGTATGAGTCAGTGAGACCCTCCACCAAGTCGAACTCTGGTTTCCATCCAAGTACATGCTTTGCTTTCTCCACTGACGCAAAGAAATGCTGCACGATCATACCATAAACAAAAACCGCAAACTTATTAAAACTTGTATGATGTTGTGCAGAGAGAATCATTTGAATGTTGGAGGTTTACCTGGTCACGGAAAGGGAAAGCCTTCTTCTTCCCAAAGTCAAACTCTTTAGGGTTGTAGTGAACAATCTCTGGCTCTGGAAACCCACCAGCCTGATAAGAGTTTAAAACATTACAAAGTTTAAATCACTTGCAACTCAAGAAATAATCCAAAAAAGACTCAAGTGTATATGTACCTTTGCGCAAGCTCTTGCTAAGCCATCAAAGGTTACGTACTTCTCTCCTGAGATGTTGAAGATCTCTCTGCTGGCTTTCTCGTTACCAAGCACGGCGAGAAAGGCTGTTGCCAAGTCCTGAAAAATAACATAACCATTTATCTCACGTTACAGAAGATTACACTCTTGAAGCAAGATCTGCAGAGAGCTCAAGACTAATAGAGAAAGTAGGTATGTGTGACCTTAACGTGACCGAGTTGTGAGACCTGGATGCCAGAGTTTGGAACTGGGATAGGGCGACCAGCTTTGAGACGGTGGAAGAACCATTCTTCCACAGGGTTGTAGTTCAATGGACCGTAGATGTAGACAGGACGTATAGAAGTCCAGTTTACACCTTTTGTTTGCAGTAAGCTCTCTGTCTCCAGCTTTCCCTTGTGCCTGCTCTTTGGGTCAACTGCATCCACCTGCATCAGTTATATATAAATGTGATTAGACATGAACAGATCACAAACTTACATGGAGAATCCAGAGAGATTACTACAAGCTCAAGAGTAAGAGTGGTTTACATACCTCACAGTGTGGCAAGACATCAGATTTGAGGTAAACACCAGCTGAAGAACAGTAGATGTACCTATAACAAAATTAACCAAACATATTGAAATTTTGAAAGGATGTGTTTATTAAAGCTAGCAAATATTCATGTGGTGTATAACTTACTGTTCTAGTTTAGGCAGTGCTTCTATTATGGGCTCAACTTCTTCAGCCTCCCTCCCTGAGATTAAAAAAGAGAAGGTATAATGTATCAACTGTACTCGGTTATCAGTGTAAAGAGACTGTAACAACAACAAATAGCGTGTGTGTTACCGTTGATATCATAAACAACATCGAAGCCTTCAGCTGAAAGACTTGACTTCACAAAGTCATAGTCCTTTCTGTCTCCTTTCAAGTGAAGAATCTAGCAAAACACCAACCAAAAAAAAACATTCATTCTATTAAGTTCCTCATGCTCAAATACTATGTTGTTTCACAAGGTAACAATACCTTGGAAGAAAAGTCAGCAAAGTCTTGGTCAGATTCGCCAGGCAGTTGTTTGGCAATAGGAGATTTACCCCTTGTGAATAATGTAACCTGCAAAAAGCAACCATTGGACAAGTGTGAGAAGGAAACTAAAAGACAGTTTGATCGGTCATGGAAGAAAAAATGAAGAACCTGATGTCCCTCTTTGACAAGGAGCCTGGACAAGAAGATACCGATGAAACGAGTGCCACCCATTATAAGAATCTTCTTTTCACTCGATGCTGAAACATAGAGTGCTCCTTTTGGCTGTTGAACCTTCCTCTTGTACTGCAGTTTCAACAACAAATTTATAAATCTGAAGCTAGAGCTTCACAGCAACAATGATAAACTTGAGTATGTATTCAGACATATCATGCCAAAACGACACCCAAAACATTCAAAATTATGACAAAGAAGCTCATAAATTACAAAACCAGAGCTGTTACAGGAACCACACCAATACTTTTAGACACACATTTCATTAGTATAGAGACAATGATCCATTTCCCAATAAGTAAAAAAAATATGAGCATTACTTTTTGTAAAGTGAGAACATGTTAATGAACTGAAAAGCAAAAAAATACAAAACAGAGTTTGATCCATCAGGCACCCAAAAGAAACGTCAGTGCAAAGAAAAGAAAAAGAAAAAGACCTGGACTTGTGAATGGAGCTTGGCACCATTAAAGTCAGAGAGAGAAGAAGTAAGGAGAGAGAAAGAAGGCTGGCTCTGTTGCATCATCATCATCATCTTCGCCATGCTTGTTGGTTCACTCTCTCTGAAGAAAGAGTCTTATGTGAGTGTCAGTAAATGGTTTGTGAGGCCACATCATCTTGTTCAACAAGTCTTTATTTATTTTTGGATAAGAATATGATCTCATCTCATCCTCTCATGGTCACATATTTACAACCATTGTCGTCCTCTTCTTTCATAAACACACTCTCTCACTCTATCTTTGTTTGCCCCCCTTATTGTGGATAATAGATAGAGGCTGATTCTGACCGCGAGTGTAAAGTTTTTGCGGTCAAAGTGTAACTTTTGAACTTTTTGTATGGGCCTAATGGGCTTGGGTCTCTGGGCCAACTTTAGAATTAAAAAGATTTTACAAAAAGAGAAAGAAATCACGTAGCACGTACGCACGCGCAAAGAGCTTGAAGATCTGGTACTGAAGAAGAAAACTTTCTCGGAAAATTCTTATCTTTCTCGGAGGGGAAGAGGTGTTTCGTTTTCTCCTACTGATCAGCTTCGGATTGAATACTTCGAAAGATGGATCCTAGCCAGGTGAATTTTAGCTGTCTCGCTGCTTCTTCTACGCCTCAATTTACCTTTCGATTCATGTTAATTTCGGAGTTCAATTGCTTATAAGATTCTTGATTGACCTAGATTAGTTGTTCGATCTTGACGTTATTGTGATGGATCTGTGTTCTTCGTTTTCGTATGTACACATTACAAGTTGGAAAGCTTGAGCTCAATAGTCATACTAGGTTAAAAGAATCGATACTTTTAATTTCGAATTGTTCACCTTCTTGCCAAAATGCGTAGCGATATTAGTCTTTTATGCATCTCTTTCGTTTAATAGCGTTATTATAAATTACTTGAGAGAATTTATACAGCTTTGATTGTTTATTTCAACGCAGCCACCAGTTGAAAACTATGCGAACCCAAATACATGTCTCTTCCATGTTCTCTTCAAGGTATGATCCCAAGTCTTTTGACGTTTTAATAAGTGTATGGTGAAATAGTTTTATATGGTAACAAGTTTTTTTTTTGTTTTTGGCTAGGGTGCTGCGTTGGCGTTTTACATTCTGTCAGCTCTCTTCTTCAACAGCTTTGTCATCATCTTTGTTGTGACTGTTCTTCTTGCTGCCCTTGACTTCTGGGTGGTTAAGAATGTGAGTGGCCGTATACTTGTTGGTCTCAGGTGGTGGAACGAGATCGATGACCTGGGTGAAAGTGTCTGGAAATTTGAGTCTCTTGACCAGGAGGTTACGCTCTTCTTTTTTTGCTTCGTGTTTTTACTTTGTTCAATAGGTTATATAGAAGGTTCATTTTGCTAGAAATCATGTGTGGTTTTCACTTTTCTTAGAGTTTTGAATAGTCATTTTTATCGTTTGTTTGTATGTATCAGTCCTTGGCTCGGATGAACAAGAAAGACTCATGGCTTTTCTGGTGGACGCTTTACCTTGCAGTGAGTATTTCCTATCTGAAGATTACAGTCGTAGCGTATGCTTATCACTTATACCTGTTAGCAATGCAACTGAAACATAGTGGAAGAGTAGGAGTAGGAACAGGGAAAAATGAACATGCTCTACCTAGTGGTAAAGCACATGTTTTGCAACAGTGATACATAGGAATTTCGGAGCTGTCGTTTAGTATTCCACATTATATAGATCGCTGATGCTCATAAAATGGGAATTCTCTCACGCCACCAACAACTAATGTTTAAATGAGTTTTATCTATGAGATTGTGACAAATGTTTCTCCTTCTGAGTGGAGTACTAGCATTTGAAATTGTAGTAAAATTACATGCAGATACAGTCAGTGTACCATAGGCAGATTACGGAAAACTAATATGGTGGGATAAAAGTTGGCCATTGTTATTGTGCATGTTGAAAGTGTATGTTGAAAGTGCATTAATATTTATCCTATGAACCGACATTGATTTAAGTATCTGATTGATTATTACTTGGTAGCTTAAAACCATATAGGCCCAGTTACATTACAAGCGACCTATAAAGAGTGAGAGTTAGCCATGCCAGTCTTTTTTGCCGGTTGTCTGCAGCTGAATCTTCTTTTTTTTTCGTGTCTTTAGGCAGCTGCGTGGTTGATCCTTGGGGTATTTTCACTGATAAGGTTTCAGGCCGATTACCTGCTTGTTGTCGGCGTTTGCTTGTCCCTCAACGTGGCTAATATCATCGGCTTCACAAAGTGCAAGAAAGGTAAGATTCATCCCAGAATAGCCCTGATTTTGTTAAGAAATAAAATCTGCTATAGAACCTTAGGTTCATAGACTTGTGTATCCAATAAGAACCTGTGCATGTACATACTCTAAACCGGTATCCACACTTTTTCCTGGCAGATGCAAAGAAACAGTTTCAGCAGTTTGCCTCACAGACAATCGCATCAAGGTTCCAGTCTACGGTACAATCTGCTTTCACCCTTGTTTGAAAAGAAGAAAAAGGTTTTAGCGAGAGCAAAGACAGTATATAAAGAAGATTGCCGCCATAATCCGACACCATGTTTTTTGACTGATTGTAAGGGATTAAGAAAGATTATTGTATTCGACTCTTTTACATGTATTTTACATTTTCGACTTATCATATGGTTCTACCATCTATGCTTATGTAAACGATATCTCAGAAATTTTACTTATATTTCTGATTTCGGTGGTAATCTTCAACATCCTCGTTTGTATTCAGTTCAGCTACTACCAACAAAAAGAAAGTTTCAAAACTGAACCCAATATACAATTGGTAAAAAGCCTAACTAACCAGAAAGTGAAGTTGGGCCTCAACGAGTTATCAGCCCATAATTACATATATCAAAAAAGCCCAAGATCACAAATATAAATAAAAGCTTTCAAAATTGATTTGATTCGCGTAATCAAACTACAAAACCCTAAAAAAAACCTAAACTCCATTGATCCTCCACACAGAGCGAGAACGTATCCATCCCATTCTTCCCGCCAATCTCTTTCTCGCAGTTCCCATGTCTTCGCTGCGTCGCCAATCTCCCATGGTTTCATCTCCGGCCAAAAAGAGGAATCACGCTCCCAACAATCCCGCAACTCCGAGACCAATCCGTAACCGTCTTCCTTCATTCCTAAAACCAGGCGCCGCTGTGGAGATCAGCACCAACGACATAGGTTTCCGCGGCTCGTGGGAACTGGGGAAGGTGATCACCCTCCCATCCTCAGATTCCCTCAAGTGCCAGGTGGAGTACACGTCAATGTTAGACGATGACGGGAGGAAACTTCTCAAGGAAGTTGTCCACGTGGATCATCTTCGTCCTCCGCTTCCGCCGATGTCTGAGAGGGAGAAGAAGAAGGATATCGTGGTTGGGGATGACGTGGAGGCTTTTTACAATGAAGGTTGGTGGGAAGGGACGGTTACGGAGGTTAGGGTTGGCGATGGGAAGTTCAGTGTTTACTTCAGAGGCTCCCAGGAACAGATTCAGTTTCGTAGAGATGAATTACGGTTTCATCGCGAGTGGATGAACGACACGTGGAAGCCTCCCTTAGATGAAACTGAAGAGGAAGAATCAGATGAAGAGGAAGTAGACGAAGAGGTAAAGAAAACATACAATTTACGCTTAGTTAAAACGTTACATGTTTTCACTGCAAAGAGATGAAACCTTTTTTTTTTTTGTTTATCAAAAAAAAATATTAGAATCCACACTAATTGTGACATGTTGAGATTTTTGCAGTATCTTATACCACAAGTGGATCCGGAAACTACTAAGTCAATTGCGAAAGAGATGTTTTCCAGTGGTAAAGTTGTTGAAGTTACCAGCGACGAGGAAGGTTTCGTTGGATGTTGGTTTGCGGCTAAAGTCGTTGAACGTATTAGCGAAGACAAATACATGATCGAGTACAAAGACTTGCGGGAAGCAAATGGTATTGAGCCTTTGAGAGAAGAAGCTGACGTTCTGCACATAAGGCCACCACCACCAAGTGATGAGGATATAGACTTTGCTGTTGGGGACAAGATTGATGCTTTCTACAACGACGGCTGGTGGGTAGGTGATGTTATAGAGAGTATGAAGGATGGAAGTGTTGGTATCTTTTTCAGGCAAACTAGAGAGAGGATGCGGTTTGGAAGGCAGGGACTTCGTCTGCATAAGGACTGGGTTAACGGGACTTGGGAGCTGCCACTGAAAAGAGGAGAGGTGAAGAGGGCAAGGGTGGTGGAGAAAGTTCCATGTGAACGGAACGTGAGACCTAAAAGAGCAATCGACAAGCAATATTTCAGCATTGGAACTCCAGTGGAAGTTAGCAGTATTGAAGAAGGGTTTGAAGATTCTTGGTTTCTTGCGAAACTTATTGAATACAGAGGAGCAGACAAATGCCTTGTGGAGTATGATAAGCTGAAAGCTGAAGATGGGAAAGAGCCCTTGAGAGAAGAGGTTAATGTTTTTCAGATAAGGCCTCAGCCACTAGAGATGGTCATGGTTAATCCGTTCGAGAAGCTTGATAAAGTTAATGCTTTGTATAATGATGGATGGTGGATCGGGGTGGTTAAAAAGATTCTTGCTAAGTCCAGCTACCTGGTTCATTTCTCGAAAACTGATGAGGTGTTAAAATTTCATCATTGTCAACTAAGACTACATCAGGAATGGAGTGATGGCAAGTGGATAACATCTTCCAAGGTATGCTAAGATTACATATAACTCCGATGTTTGCTCTATTATTAAAAAAGATAAGTCAGCATTGGTCGTAGTTGTTGACATGTAACATTCATGTATTCATCATATGCTTTTACTAATGGGGTTTCTCCCTTTAATTTTGTCTTTCAGTCTCAGACAGCGTAATTGGGCTGGAGAACGCGTATGGATTTTGGGATCTCAAGTCTTTTTAGTTTGGAGGTATTTGAATATTGTAGTCTTAGCCTTGATGTTCCCTAGCTATTGTAGACAATTGCAGTTTATGTGGATTAAATGAAAGACAAATGGAGTTTATATTTTATTGATTTACCAAGATATACTACAAATTTTCTTTGGATCATTTGATAGGCCAGTCTCCTGTTAGGCTTATTTCTTGCCTTGTTGATTACTCGTTGTGAACATACAAATAAATATTTTTGAAAGAGGTAAATGTAGATCATAATATCACCTACGTTATCTTGCATCTTATGATCTTTCGTGACCATTTCATGTATGGCAACTGCGAAGCACATTAGTATCTCACTTCCTGTTGTATATGGTCAAACCTGCTCTGGATATAATACTAAAGGCATGCTTATTGTGCTTTTGGAGTCAATGCATACGAATGATGTTGCTATACCTCCTGAGTAGCTTTTTCAGGTCATAAAACATTTTGAAAAGATCTTGGTGTAGCTAATAGGTTTCCAGTGTTCTTGAAGTGACAAGCAGAACCAACTTCAATGTAGTTTATAAATAATTATACGATAATATTTGTAGAACAGGATGATGTTGACATCTTATTACAGGTAAAACAAGCAGCAACGAGTGGTAGGTAATAGATGAGCGTAAGAGCAGTGAGAAACACTAACTCAGTAACACTCAGTGGTCGGTTTAAATTGTTGAAGTACACTTCAAAGGATCTCTTTTAATTGTAGAAGCAGTGAGAAGCTTGATTAGGCCTCCTTGACGGCAACAGCCTCTTTGGCCGGCTCTTCCTTGGCAGGTTCTTCCTTGGCAGCCTCCTTGATGGCTTCACTGCTCTTCTCCTTGCCAGGTTCTTCCTTGGCTGGTTCCACTTCCTCTGGGACTACAAAAGCTGAAACAGGGAAAGTCCTGGACAGTGTGGTTGGTGACTTAAACGTGATCTTCTCTTTCTCCTCTGTATAGATCTCACTGATAGTGACCCAAATAAGAAGCTCCTTGGACTTGACTCCAGTGAGCTTCTTGATCTTGCCGGTTTGGACCACAGCAGTGACCTCGGTTCCGTAAGAGACAAGCTTATCGATCTCTTCGAACTTGTGGGTGATGCTTTGCTTCTGCTTCAGCCACACAACACCTGACTCTCTGTCATACCCAACCTCTTCTATGTCCTTCAAAGGTAGTAAGCCATTGGGCATAGATATCTCCTTGAGGAAGACTTTTGTCTTCTCTCGGCATATCTCATCTCCCGTGTACATCTCTGCCTTAGCTCTCACCTCCTCTGTGACCAAACCCATCTCTGTGTTCTTAGCTCTGTTGTGGGTGTTTTAGTTGTGTATTGTGTTGAGATAGAAGTAGACTTGACCTTGTGATATATAGATGCATGTAAAAAGCATTAATGGGCATGGTTGAGAAGGTATATAGGTAAGTACATAAATTCTGATACGTGTCATGTTCTGTTTATATCATTTTTGGGTTAAAATTATCTGGCAATCATCATCATCACAATAATGGACAGTTATTACTATTAATATATGATTTGATGGTGCATGCATGAGCATGGCCCCTTCCATATAAATGCAGTGTCTTCCATATAAATGCAGTGTCTATCATCTCACATTCTCTTCACTTATAAATCGAATCAAATAATCCCTTGAGATATTGATCACTGTTTTTTCCCCCCTACGACTATCTTTAGAACCCACATAAAGACTACTTAACTATAAAGAGTTCCCAACTTCTAACTTGCTGATTGTGATTTCTCACCTTACATTCTTGAGACTTGATGCCTTCAACTAAAAAGCCTTCCGGTTCTATTCTTATTATTGTTATTTCAAATGTATATCCATACAACAACATACTCTTTTAGGTTTTTGAAGAAACGCTAAAACTAACATCATATATAAGATATCACGCAATAGCCAAGTTATATTCTCATGACATCTCCAAAGCAACATTTGAACTAAAGAAAAAAGAACCTGACAAACCTCTGCACATCGTTTGTGTTTGATCTCTTTAGGCATTGATCATGTGAGCACCTTGTAGTCTGTCTAAGATGATGCTTTGTGGTTTTGAAATTGAAGAAGAAGCTGTTGTGCCATGGACTGATGGAGAAGGCAGCTGAGTTAGCTGATGGTATTTTTGACATCTCCGGTCCATCATAGCTCATGAAATGATTTAATATACAAAATTTCGGTTTAATAATATATTTCGGTTTAATGTGATTCGGTTTTCTAAACCGTATTTTAGCTTCCTGGTTCCATCTTCACGACGTTCGGCCTTACTGAAAAGCCCTAATGGGAAGAACAAACTCGTGTGGCGATGGCGAGAAACAGAGTGGTGAAGATACAGAGCAATACGGAGTGTTGCTCTATTACAAGTACACCTCTGTTCCTGATGTAGACGAGCTCGTTTCCTTCTATGAATCTAGCTGCAACTCACTCGGTCTACTCGGCCGAGTCAGACTCTCCACTCACGGCGTTAACGTCACCGTATGCTTCTAATCTCCTTCTCTGCATATCCCAATGAATCAAAAAATGCTAAACCTTTATTGTCTTCGGAAAAAACATTGGTTTTGTGTTTTGTCTGGCAATAAAGGCTAAACCGTTATTGTCTTTAGAGAAACATTGAGTTTGTGTTTTGTCTGGCTAGTAAGTAGTATAAGTTGAATTAAAAGACAATAAAGTCAAACTCTTTTTTTGAGTTCTGAGTTCAGAGCTAGTTGGGGTTGATTGTAAGATCCAATCCATGTGAACCAATGAAAAGGGCATAATCCAAAGTTTGAAGCTTTTTTTTTTTGATAGAGTTCTGTTTTATAGGGTTTGTGATAACAGACTAAAAGTTTGCATTTTTGGTTTTAGGTTGGTGGGAAATTAACTGCATTGGAGGAACATATTGCTGCTGCAAAGTCGAATTGTTTGTTTGAAGGAACTGACTTTAAGCTTGCATCTTGCCATCATCCCTTGAATGACAAAGTTTCTCAGGAATGTGGGTTTACGTCTCTCTCCATCCGTGTTGTTGAGGTTCTTGCCTTCTTCTCTTAACAAACATAACTACCGTTCATTAGCCTTTTGTAGCATTTTGACATAGTTGTGGTTGTTGTGTTGTGATTTGCAGGAGTTAGTGACTTTTAGTACTTGCCCTCTCTTGAAATCACCAGATATCTCAAATGCTGGAAAACATCTCTCTGCTGCTGAGTTTCATTCGGTCCTGGAGAGTGCTAGTAAGATATTTCTTTTAATTTGTATTACTTTCTGCTGCTACTTTGTATGTCTATCTGATTATGTTTTATTCAAACTCAGAAGAACAACCTGATGGATCCGGGAAGTCTGAAAATAAGGAGCTTGTTTTGCTGGACGCTAGGAACCTGTACGAGACACGGATTGGAAAATTTGAATCAGAGAATGTTGAGACCCTTGATCCTGAAATCAGGCAGTATAGCGACTTGCCAACGTGGATAGATCAGAATGCAGAGAAATTGAAAGGAAAAAACGTTCTCATGTATGAATTTTAGTTCTATGAAAATACAGAGATAACGTTTCTTGTTTTGTTTACTTTCCATATATCATTGAAGCTCTAATGTATTGGGGCAAAATCAGGTACTGCACTGGTGGAATCAGGTGTGAAATGGCATCTGCATATATCAGATCTAAAGGCACCGGGTTTGAGAATACTTTTCAGGTTAGCAAATGGTTTTGATACACAAGTCAGTGAACTTGGCTTGACTCCAGCTGCTAATTGTTTCTTGCAGCTCTATGGTGGCATACAGAGATACCTTGAACAGTTTCCCAGTGGAGGGTTCTTTAAAGGGAAGAACTTTGTGTTTGATCACCGGTATATGTCTAGCATCTTTCTCTTGTGATTCACCAGAGACCCCTCCAAGTAACTTATATTTTGATGTGGGGTTTGAAGGATCTCAGTTGGGAGCTCAAAAGAGGATATAGTAGGCTGCTGCCTTCTCTGCAACAATACCTTTGATGACTATTCTCCACGTTGTCGTTGCACACATTGCCGGATGCTTGTATTAGTCTGCAATCATTGCCAAGTATTGCACTCGGGAACCACTTTAGTTGATCTACTTCACATGGATTTTCTTACATTGGATTTATGATGTGGTGTTGCAGGTCAAAGGAGATAATTATGTATGTGAGCTGTGCCGTAAACACGGAAAAGGGCAAGTCCCTTCAAGTCCTGATCCCTCAAACCAGCCTTGTGAAAGCAAAGGTAACGTCTGTTTTTACATTTTTTTGGGTTTTTTTTCATTATACTTCTGAAGTTTGTAATATAATATTCTACTCCCCTGCAGTTGATGATGATACAAGACGGAAGCTAAGGATCTTATGCTTACATGGTTTTAGGCAGAACGCGTCTGGCTTCAAAGGGAGGACTGGATCACTAGCAAAGAAACTAAAGAACATCGCTGAGCTTGTGTTCATAGATGCACCTCATGAACTACAGTTCATCTACCAGACTGCTACTACCCCTCCTCCACTTGGGGCATGTAACAAGAAGTTTGCGTGGTTGGTGTCACCAGATTTTGACAAACCGAGTGAAACAGGATGGACCGTGGCACAATGCCAGTTTGATCCATTGCAGTATCAGAATCAAACCGAAGGGTTTGACAAATCATTGACATATTTGAAGACGGTTTTTGCAGATAAAGGGCCTTTTGATGGCATTCTAGGATTCTCTCAAGGTGCTGCAATGGCTGCAGCTGTATGCGGGAAACAAGAGCAGCTCACAGGTGAAATAGGCTTCAGATTCTGCGTGTTGTGCTCAGGTTTCACACCGTGGCCATTGTTGGAGAAGAGAGAGCAAGGTTGGATAAACTGCCCTTCACTTCACATTTTTGGAAGCCAGCCTGGAAAAGACAGACAGATTGTGACTCAAGCTAGCTCGGATTTGGCGGGGTTGTTTGACCAAGGCTGCGCCACTGTTATTGAGCATGACTTTGGCCACATCATTCCTACAAAGTCTCCTTATATTGATGAGATTAAAGCTTTTCTTAACCAGTTTGTTTGAGTACTTTGTTTATCAAGACAATGCTCTTGTAATCAAATAACTTTTCTTCTTGTTTCTGTTCTCATAAGTAATAAATGAAATAATATAACAAAGATAAAAAGTGACAAATACAATGTGATCAAATCCTAAACCAGTAAACACACTAGACATGATTCATCCCAAAGTTTGAAGATGTTATAAGATACAGAAACAGAGAATGATTCAGACAAATGACAACAAACAAACAAAAAAAAGTATAAGAGCCTTTTTTTTTTGAACCAGTACTCAAAAACCCAAACTTGAACCTGGCAATGTCAATAACAGTTGCAAAAGAAGAATCTCAGGTCCCCACACCAAATGATTTCAATGTATCTATACCTTTTTTCAACCAAATTTAAATCCACCAGGGGGAGGAGCGGTCTGGTTATTCCCAAAACTGAAGCCTTGTTGTGGATTTTCGCTCCCACCGTCTGGCAGAATCTGTTCATCCTCTTCTTCAGCCCAATATCTCTCCAAGATCTTAACAGCTTTGTCATATATCTCGTTGTTATCATGGGATTGAAGGTTTTCAATTTTGTCCAACCCATCAGATTCTTCAATTATCTGAGCATAGAGATTCACTCCACCGTTTAACCCCATCTCCTTGTCTGCCTCACCAATCTTGAGAATGTTCTCAAGCCCCTCTAGGCACACTGTCACAATCCTTGGATCAGGGCAAATTAGAAGATCACAAAGAGGTTTGATGCAGCCTTGCGCTACCAAATACCTGCATGCAAAAAGTATATTATCAAATTGAGTGAACACTATGAAATGCACTTAGAAATAAAGATGACTTACTGAATCTGTTCGTGAGACCCTCCTGAGGTGGCATTTGAAATAGCCCACGCAGCTTCCTTCTTTATATCGAACTCTGCGTTTTGGAGCAAATGCACAAGAGGGAGTACAAGTCCAGCTCCAACCACAGCCTATTGTTTGAATAATATAAAGTAGTTAAAAATTTTGCATTCAGAACTTTAATGAGTATCAATATTGTATGTACCTCTATCTGAACTTTATTCCCAGCAGTAATATTCGAGATTGTCCAACAAGCTTCCTTTTTGATACTTTTCTTGTGATTTTGCGTAAGCAAATTATAAAGGTGCGGAAGAACACCACTATCAATTATAAACTGAAAAACCAAACATATTCATGTGTAGTCAATATGCTAAAGTAAACACCAAAGTAATATAAAGTGTCATTCTTGCAAATGATACCTGTGTTTGAGAGTCATCACCAGTTACGATGTTCCCAACAGTTCGGAGGGCAGGAATGAGAACCGTAGGTGATGGATGACTTGAACAAATAAAAATCAATAATACAAGTTAGTGAGAGCACCAGCACCAACACTCAAATTTTAAAAGGAACAAAAGGCATCACAAGTTTGAAGAAGATGGAAAAACACCATTATTGAAATGACTAATATATAAAGCACTAAGAGTCTGAAGTAAAAAAAACTAAGGAAACTAACCTCAGAAGCTCCACAAGTCGTGGACATACATTTGCCTCAATCACAGCCTGAATCTTATCATTGGGGCCATCTGAAAGGTAGGAGAGAGCCCAACACGCATCGGTGAGAACTTCTTCATCATTTAGATAAATAAGTTGCCGAAGAACTGGCAGCGCAGGCTTCACCTGGAATATATGAATAATTATAACATAAGCTGTCCTGACAAATCAAAGTTACATAAGAGAATACATTCCTACCTCTTCAAATGGTGTTGGTGGTTTCCCGCGACAAAAGTTGGACAAGGTCCATGTAGCATTCCTTAGCATAGATAACTTTGAATTTTCGTTTAACTGAGACAGCAATGGTATAAGAGCGCCACAGCCGAGAACAAGATTCCTGCAGTTTGGCGAGTCTCCAGCAACATTCCCCAATGCCCACACCGCCTACAATGGAAGGTTTGTAACACAACATTTAACGGTTTAGCACCTAGAACTACAGAGAAGCACTTGGTTGACTATAATTCATTTACAAACTATACATTTTAGATCAAAAAGAACAACAAACAAACCAAATACAACCACAGAACTAGGAGGCTTGTATCTATAATAGCTAGTAAGTGGCAAACCTGCTCTCGAACGTCATCACTAGCAGAGCTAAGAAGCTCAACGAAGATAGGTACCGCCCCGTGTTCAATCACAACCCGAGTATGATCAGATGTTCCTGACGCAACGTTGGTCAAAGCCCATGCTGCCTCAAACTGCAAACGAACTTTAAAGTAAGCCACCAGACCACCATTCTTGAGTTTTTTTTTTTTTTTTAAGGCGCCATTGATAAGGGAAAAAAAATCTAAAAATTAAAAAAAAGTATTGAGACAAACCTGAAGTTGTGGATGGTCTTGTCTTCGAAGAAACTCAACAAAACGAGGGATAACACCAGCTTTGATCACTTCATCAATTGGTGGACTCCGCTCTGCACACATCAAATTACAAAACAATCTATTAACTCACATATACCCCCGAGAGAACGATAAAAAAAAAAGAGTATACTTAATTACCTATAGATAACAACTTTCTAAACTGAGTAGTAGCTTCAAGCTGAGCTTGAGGATCATCAGAATAAACACCTTGTACCATCATTGGTATCCCTTCCAACTGTTCATTCAAAAGCAACAAAATAAAACATCATCAAAAACAGCTCCCTCCACAAGACCAAAGATCTGATCTTTACTTGTGAAACAATCCAAACCAAAGATCCTCAAGATCCAAAATTAAAAAAACTCGAGAAATTTATTTCAGATCAGATGGAGTTTACTCGTTTCTCAACGGCGGCAGCGTTCTGGAGAGCATCAAGACCAGCTCCTCCAATAGGCTGCTGCTGCTGTTGGAGCATCATGCCTTCGCGGCGTTTCTTGAGGAGACTATCCTCACGTTTGTTTTTGCGAATCTCGACGAGGTTGTCCTCTCTCCTCCGTCTCGCTTCATCGGCATCAACACCAGTTTTGTATATCTTCTTCCTCAGCTCGGCACGTGTACTCGGCCTTAGCGACATCTTAGTGTCTCTCTCTCACTCTGCTTGAAACCACTTCGTGTCTGAGATCTTCTTCTCTTTTGGTAGGACTGAAAATGGAACAAGGAGATCGTGGAAGGATGAGTCGTCTGTTAGTGTCGGGTCGGATCTGAGTTTGGTTTGGTTTGGTCGGAGTTTTTGGTTAGTTGTTGGAGCTACTTGGATCCTTCTCTCTAACAAAGAGTGTCCTAAAGTTAGCTTTTGGTCTTTTCCATCATAGAATTTTTTAAAGTGAAAAAAAAATAATATACAAATTTTATTTTGCATGATTAAATGGATACTTCATGACTAAGAGATTCTTTCTTATCAGATATGGTATAATTAATTTGTTCTCGCATTAGTTTTAAGAGATTTTTGATGTAATTATGTAACATAGAGATAAGAGCATAATTATTGAGAGGTTTCTTAAGTTGAAATTCTTAGCATAATATAATAATTGTCTTTTAATTTTTAACTAAAAAAAATTAAGAATCAACTTTTAAATATTTCTTATGAGAGATGGTGTAATTAATTTGTTCTCGCATTGATTTAAAAAGAATATTGATGGTTAATTATGTAGCATAGATAAGAATATAATTATTGAGGGGTTCTTAAGTTGGGATTCTTAGCATAATATAATAATCATCTCTTAACTTTTAATTAAAAAAAATTAAGAACTGATTCTTAAATAAGATATTTAAAAGTCGGTTCTTAGTTTTTCTTAGTTAAAAGTAAAGAGACAGTTCTTAAATTATGCTAAGAATATCAACTTAATAACTCCCCAATAATCATGGCCTAACCATCGTATGTTTTGGACATTACAAGATAATGTCTTATTCTTTGTGGTTTAAGCTTCTGTTAAAGTTAAAGATTTTCTTGTATTCAAGTATTGGTTAGTGATATTTTGATGTTGAGAAAAAGAGATGGATATACATTTCATGACTATGAACGACGAACAATATGATGGTTTTTGAAATATTTAAAATAAGATTATAAGCAACAAATATAACCAAAGAAAAGGATACAAGACAAAGTTTTGTATCTCAATAAAGCTTGATTATTATAATACAAGATTAGAGACTAATCAGAATCAGAATCAGTATCGATAATATCAACACAAGGACGTTTTCCCTCCCTCACTGATTGCACATGCATTTCATCTTCTCGAAACATGTTCCTAAACCCTTGTTCGACGTTGCGAGCCCTACTCCTGTCAGGATCACACAAGATCATCCACGCTGTGTTGATGATCCTTAAAGCTAACTTGGCAGCAACAGATTTGTTTCTCTCGGGAGCGAGCTTAGCCACGATGTTCAAGAACTGTCTATAAGCTATTTGATAGCTCCAGCGCGGGCTGACTCCGAGGATGTCATAGAGTGTAAATATTAGGGATAATATATCCCACATCGGGAAATCAAAGGGACCTTAAGTAATATATAAAGGGTTAGGGCCAATCCACTTATTACCAATTGGTTTTAAGTTGGAAGCCCATAATTAACCCGAATTTAACATGGTATCAGAGCCCAGATCCTAATGGAAAAAAAAAAAGCCCTAAACTCCTAATTAATTAATTACCCTTCCGACCGGGTATATAGGTCGTGTTTAACCTTCCGGCTAGGTATAATTGTCGTATTTGACTCGCTCGACCGAGTATAACTGTCTTAAAGTTTCGAGATTTCTGGCCGATAAGAGCCATCATCTCGAGGAGGGGTATTAGGGATAATATATCCCACATCGGGAAATCAAAGGGACCTTAAGTAATATATAAAGGGTTAGGGCCAATCCACTTATTACCAATTGGTTTTAAGTTGGAAGCCCATAATTAACCCGAATCTAACATGGTTTAAGTGGATTGGCCCTAACCCTTTATATATTACTTAAGGTCCCTTTGATTTCCCGATGTGGGATATATTATCCCTAATAGTAAAACGGTTATTTATGAACCTCCAGTGAATTTCATGAGCCAGATGGACCTGCGAGATCTTACGATGGTTCGTAGATGTGTTTGGGAAAACAAATGTTAGTGTACGAAGAATGTCAAGGGCTCCTTTGAAATTGCCTCTCCGGTACAATTTGTCAGCTAGTCTTACACCGTCTTCAGAGTACATTCTAGCTGATATTAGTTCGCTCATTTTGAGATTGTTTTTCTTTTTGCAGAGGAGATAATATTGAGGTGAATGAGGTCTGAGATTACCACCATAATTTATAGTGAAAATAAAAATAGATCTTTAATTCTCTCTATAATTAATAAACAATAAAAAGGAAATATATTGATGTAAAATATAAGGAATACATAATTATATATAAATAAATTGGAAAAATTACGAATCTTCTATAGTATATATTTTTCTTTATAATATTGTGCGATAAAATATATATTTACAAAAAATTATAATTTTTTGTTATTTCATTTTAATATTTTGGAAAAGTTATTAAAAAGAAAGTTGACTAAATAAATAATTTATTTTGGCATTTTCGTAGTTTCTAAAAAATAATTAACTCGTTTAGTAAATACAATTTAATAGTTATTATGGTTGATATATATGTAGAACTGAAACGCTTGTACCTTTTTTGGTTAAAGCAATTTAATATTCTTTCCGTTTCAAATTAGATATCGTTCTAGATTATTTCACGCTAATTAAAAAAATAGTTAAATATTCAGTTTTATTCTCTTTTTTTAACGTCTGCAATGCACTAATCTGACAAACAAAAGGAAGTTTAGTACAACAGAGAACATATTAAACACTCAACCTTAAAATAAAAATCTATGAGTGTGAAAGAACAGCTTATCTGTTGATTAAATGGTGCAGCCAAGCAGGTCCCCCCAATGTAAGATACGATTGGAATTTTCCATCCCTGAAAACACTTTTCGCAATTTCTCGTCCAATACAATTAGAAACCAGTGCCTCTAATTCAAAAGCCACATACATAAATTAAGAACAGAGCATCCATATACGTTGGAGGATGATACGGAACCTTGGCCAGTCTGTGAAATTTTTTACCGCAGACACTAAGTCATGAAAATTAGATCCAGTGGTTACTTTCTGATAGCCAATATCTTTCATGCTTTGCAAGGCCCATTCAAGACACCTAAGTTCCGCTGTTAACGTATTGGGCGAAAATGTTAAAGCATCTCGTGCGTGGTGAAGAACATTCTCCGCCTTATCTCTTGTAATAAAAGAAATTCCACTATGAAGCGTAGCATTCCGCCAATAGCATGTATATTGCACTTGACAAAGCCATCCATAGGAGGCTCCCAAACCTTGATTTCCTCTACCAATCCATTCCCAGCTGCAGAGATTCTTGGTTCCTTATTAAGCTCCTTTCAAGTACTCGCTTCTTCACAGGCTTGTTGGATTTGAATGTCCAAATATACTTGTGTATCAGCATATAAGACCGAGTTCCTATTAATTCTTCCAACTAGAATTGCTTATCGTTGTTGCGCAAGGATAAAGGAATTTGCCATCATTTTGAGATGAATGGAGAGAATTTCCACTAGTTGCATATTGATGCGGTCTGATGTTTGTGGGAGACCAATATCCATACTAGACCATACATCGACTCAATGGCGGACCTACATAGGCCAGTGGGATGTCAACTGACATCCTTTAAATCTGTATAAATTTTATTTTTCTCACTAAAACATTGAAAATTAGTAGTCCTTTTGGTAAGTTTCCTCATCTGGCTCACCTAAACCACAAATCAAACTCCCATGGTAACACCCTTTATTTTTTTTTCTTTTGTCTATACAGTCTGACCCAAGTTAAATTTAATCATGGATCCGCCACTGCATCGAGTGCAACATGGCAATGAAACAAAACATGTGCAATAGATTCTAAACCTGACGAGCAAAGTTTACAAGTCTTATCAAGACCCATCCCACGAGTGCTTAACTGCTCAGCTATCGTTAAGGCTCCAGAGATAGCTCTCCATAAGAAACTACAAATCTTAGGAATGGTAAGGACCTTCCAAATTAGTATTTTTGCTTCTAGTACTCGTTGCTCATTCGAACTCGCCTGATATTCTTTAATTTTTGAAGCTAAATAATATTCACTTTTAACTGAGTATGAGCCTTGAGGAGTAAACGTCTATATGTAAAGATAAAAGAAAGAAGTGATTTCATTGATTTTTTTTTTATAAATGTAAGAGCATATGCAACAGGAGTTCTTAAGGGGGAGTCCTTAGGGAAAAAATAATTAAATAATCGGTCGACCCCACAATAAGTTAAGGATTCGATCCTTAAAATCCATAAATAAGGATTGTTTCTTAGTGAATCCTTACACTATTTGCGGGTCTCCAGGACACGTGGCAGCCCGCGAATGGTCATCTTTATTTTTTTAAATAAAAAAATCTGAAATATCCTTACAAAATCTGAAATAACATTTTTCTTAAGGACTCTTATGAGTCTCACCGTTGCGGGTGCTCTAAGGATAAAAGAAATAAGTTAATGGTATAAATTGCCTTAAAATCTTTAAATGACACTTATTTATGTCAATATTTTTCTTACAACGACATTTAAATGAGGGAGTAATTATTATGGTTGATATGTACGTCGAAATCGAAACGTTCATATACCAGCTGATCACAACTTTGAACCAATCATTTGTAATATAACTTACTTTATAACATTTCGTGATAGAAAATATATTTATGTTACTATCACAACAATAATAATTTTATGTTTTTGTGATATTTTATACTAAATATTTATAAGAAGTTCTATATTCAAAATCATCATAAAGTTGGTGTTTTAGACACCAAAACATATTAAACACTAGATGGTATTAGTTTTAAAAATTAATGGTAGTTAATTCTGCTACTTATGTCTAACATGTGCTAGGTTTGAGACTATATAACGGCATTACAATTTGTTTATTTAAAGCGTTGTAATGACAAACCAAACTTGTGGTGTGAAAATTCAGGTTTGAAAGAGACTCTAAGGGTTTAAATGCTAAAAATGTGTATAGATACATTCTTTTGGGTAAACAATTGTATATTAAGTTCTGAATAAACCGAGTGAAAAAAATGTCAAATTGGATCGATTAGAAGGTTGATTGGTTGATAAGAATGGTTAATGAACCAATGAACATGATTTTGAATTTGTGCATGTCAGGTCTGTCAAGACTGGTCTAGACTGATCTAGACCAATAAAACTAATGATAACACATACTCCATAGAGTCGCTTGGCCAGGCAACTATATTTATTTTTCTAATGATATACTCTATCCGTTTCAATTTACATATCGTTGTAAAAAAAAAAATTTGTTTCAATATAAGTATCGTTTTATAATTTCAATACATAATTTATTAACTTTATATATTTTTTTATTGTTTGAAATGTGGTTAGGTGTATAGGTAATTATGTTTTTATTTTGAAATATGTAAAATTCAATATTTTCTTAATCGGAAAAAACTTGGGTTCATTCCATATGGTGAATTCTCAAATTCACTTAATCTCTTAGCACCAATTAAAATGCCATGTATGATTAATAAAAAAAATTAAAAAGAAAAAAAAAAGGAAAAAAAAGTGAAAAAAGGACGTGAGTGTTTTGCTAACACCTTCCATGGTTTTTTCTTATTCATCACCCACCGAGAATATTGAAAGCTTTGCTTGTCAAATTGGAGTCTGCGATCCTCTGCTTTCAATTCCAATTTTTAGTTAGTGTCTAGAATTAGAATTTAGGGTTTAGGATTTAAAATTTGGAATTTAACGCTTTTTAAAAATTTTGGTGGTTCAAGATCTAGAGTTTGGATTTAGGGTTTAGTAATATGATCTAGAGTTAAGGGTATAGGGTTTAGTGTTAAGATCGACATTCCTCTAGAATTTGGGTTTAGGGTTTAGGACTAGAATTTAGGTTTAGATTTAAGCTATAGGGTTAGAGTTAGGGTATAGAGACAGATGATTGTAGACTCCAATTTGACAAACAAAACTTTCAATATTGTGCGTGGTTGAGGAAGAAAAAGAAACCATAGACAATGTTACAAAAATACTAGTCGACGTCTTTTTCACCTCTTTTCCATTTTTTTAACTTTATAAATTTTTTTACTAATCCTATATGGTATTTTGATTGGTGTTAAGAGTTGAGGTGGATTTAAGAGTTCACATAGAGGGTGAACCCAAATATTGTTCTAATTAATATGTGTGCAACAATCTAAAACAACAACTAAAATTAAACAAAGGGAGTACTATCTTGTGAACCGTGTCGATATGTCTTCATTATTTAAACATGTGTGTATTTCTAATCGGTTGATATAGTTGCTTTCAAACCATCACTACATGAAAGCTAATTCAGCTTTTCCATCTTCTAACAAAATTTGAACTTGATAATACGTAGAAAACTCCAATGCAGAAATCTTTGGGATAAACATGGAGTTTTACGAGAGTTCTTCCATTGCTTTTAGATTTCGGATAGTGAAAAATATTAAACATTTGCCTATCATGTTTCTCTAGTTGTAGAATTGCTGTACAAGTATAAACTCGGTTAAGAATTTATCTCTTATTCTCATTATGTTTCCTAGTTTCACAAGGGAAAAGGTGACTGAAATACATCTTCCGTAACATAGGATATGGTACGAAAAGCCTTATTATTATCTCCTCCTACAGTTTTATTTGGAAGTAAAGCACATAATGAGATCCCAATAAGTTCAGATTCTATGCATGGATTACAAATCAGTGTCCTACGCTTACGTTGTGGCTGCCATCACAAGTTTTCAGGTTTGGTTAGTTATATTGCATCAAATTAATACAATTTGATGAAAGCAAAGATCTTCAACATTTGTAAAACTTAAATGATTGACAAAAAGAGACTTTGAAATTGATAGGAAAGTCTTTAGCAAAAAAAAAAAGAGATTGATAGGGAAGTAGGGCGAGCTTCTATGAAGGAGAAGTTCTCATATCGGTGTGAGAAAACCTAAACCATGTATGTCGAAACTCGAATGGCTTTGAAACAAGGAGGCTGACGCTCGCTTTTTTCTAGGCTCTGATTAGTAAGGTGCAGTATCGAGTTCCTTTGCTTTTTTTTTTTCATCTCCATGGAAGTTTGGAATAATATTTTTAGGATGTGACATGATAATGTTCGACGATGAAGAAAAACAAATCTAAAGGATGATAGCATCATCTTTATGGACAAGGTAAATTAAAGAGTGAGATACAGTAGTCTGTTCATTTTTGGGTTTGATATTTAATAGCCCACTTGCACAACCCTAAA